CCCATAAAGGGCACCGCCATGCAAAAACTGTATCAGGTGCTACCTTGAGTTACATAATACAGCTGTGCAGCCTGTTTAGGTTAGAAAGGTAAAGATTGGCGCCATGAAAGAGGATAGTTTGTACATGAACAGTACCCTGCCTTGGGCTCAGTACTGTGGAGCCCAATACATGTACAGTGCACATACTGTGCATGTATGCACGTGGGTGCTTACTGTAGCCCACCAGTCCAATATGTTCGTGCTATTTAACATGCTGGGAAAACACCAATGACATTCACACTTGCATATACATGTAGTTTATTTCAATGTTACATGTACAAGTACAATACATGTATATGATACCACAAGCATTAAATGAATTATGATCTGAATTTTAACAGGCACATGTACCGTTAGGTTGCAGAATTTTTCACTAACCCACCTCACAACCATGGAAGCAAATTTGGGTAGACCAGAGCGATTTTTGCCGTACATTCTTTCACAGCAAAAGGGGGTGACCAGTGGAGGCTACATGATATTTCGTCATTTTTTTTGTGCAATAAGCCAGTGTGGTAGATGTATTTTAAAAAGGCAAGCCCGAGGGCAGCCAACTGATATGGCAGATATCATGGGAACACTTCACTGTTCCTGAATGACCTTGGATGGTGCTTCATTTTCTGCAGGCACTGTTAGAACTGGCTGATTCATGGTCACTGCAAGGCCAGACAGAGTAAGCGCTTTTTAAGTGGAATTTTCTACACTCATAAAATAAAATTACCGGCTTGGGATTGTTGATGACGCCAGTGTTGAATCCAAACTGAAGTGATGAGCCAATCACAGCCGAGGCTGTAGCAAACACCAACGGTGCTGTCAATCGCCTCTGCAGAAACAAAGAAAAACAAAACAAAAAAAAGATCAACTGAAGAGAGATTTAACTTTTGACTTGCACTTAACAAGTTCTTGTTATAATTGGCGGTATAAATCCGGAACCGCAACTTTCTTTGACACAGCGCAGTGAGGGGTTGGTTGAGATTGTAAAACTTTGTCAATGATTTTATTTTGCCCCAAATTTACTTTTCTTCCATATTTCACTGAGGGTTAACTTGTTCCTATTTGTTCTCAGGTTCGTATGGGTATTTGCACTGACTTTTCGCCCAGGTGCAATTGCAAAAGTGTTGAAGTTGTATAAACATGTACATGTAGTATTGTCACACTTGTTTCTCTGTCTCAGATAATGGTATTGCTTTAAAAAGGCTTATGGGTAACTGTACGGAAAAATTAGTGGCGTCCATAGGCCTATATGGCATCTTTCCAGCTGCTGCGTGTGAGCCTGGCCAAATATTAGACACACATGATCAACGAACATAAAAGAAGAGGCGGTAACAGCAGGACACGTCAGAGTAGACCTACTTGGATCAACACATCAAGAGCTACATTACATGTAAAATGTACAAAGGTAGGCTATCCTTAGAACACTGGGGTCTATCGTTGTGGCAGCCCAACTGGCGACAAACCCGGGACTTTAACAGGGGGCGCGTTCCACTCAAGTAAATAATGCGAATGTTGCATAATTTACGCATACGTTTTCAAACCAGAATGTGTCTGGCATCAAGTACGCACGCAATGTTAACAAACTTTGGCAAAGGCTCAAAAAGAGGCATTAGTGAGTGTTAGCCAACTTTCAAAATGGATGAAAGCGGGGGCCAAGTGATGGTTATTTCAATTGGCCCTGAAACTCAACCTAAGCGAACAAAAGTATGGCGAACTGAATTATAAATGGAAAGCAACAAAACCATAATTCAGATTGTTTACAAAATGTTGATGGTCTGAGTTGGTGAACAAAAAAGTTGCATTTCTTTAGCAGATGACATTGGTTCATACATGACCTCACAATCTTCGCTCTCAACTTCTGCGTTGGCCAAAACTAATTTTCCAATTATGTCAGAAAACCAAATCAGGAATATTATGACAGCTGTCAAGTATCATAAATTCTTATGATAAATAAAAGAAAAGTATTTTACTTAATTTATGCTGACGTATGAATAATTAGGCCTAGTCCTGTCCAATCCTAGTAGCGGAATCGTCCGAGCATATTAATTACCATTGTTTAGCCTTTTTTCTGCACACGTTTCCACCTTCATTGATATGTCGGGTGACGGCCTTCTGTTTATCATGGCAGATGGACGTCAAGTGCAAAATTGTACAAAGTCAGCCAAATTTCTGCCTACGAACCTATCTGAAATACTTAGTTCACATGAAAATAGACCCCATGGGGAACAAGGTAAGCACAACCCCCCCAAAAAACAATCTGTTAGTAAAGTGGCGTCAGGTTGCAACATTTTTGCTGCTCTTTCCAGTGACAAGTAATTCATTTCATAACTCACACAGTCACACTTCAAAGTTTCATTTCACACAGGCCTACCTACAGGAATTAATAATAGTATACATGGCCACGTTTTCTGCGGGTAGGCCTTCGGCGTCCAAGGCCAGCTTACGAATTTGTCAATAAAACAGACAAGGGAAGAGCTATTCGGACGTGGACGTGCCAATCTTTACCTGTCTGACGCTTGTTCCTGAATCAGGCTCATGTCTTCCATCATGTCCATTCACCGAAGCCGACAGGTCCTCTTTCTCCTTAGCGATGTCCTCCATTTTTGGGTTCTTCTCGTCCACGGCCCCATACATCGAGAGCTAGCTGTTCCACCTTCTTATCTGTACCAAGTTGTTGAGGGCGTGCTGTTACGTATTTGCCGTCAACTCGTCACGCACGCGCGTTGTTTACGTTACGTGTAATATTTTCCCACGTGGTGTGTACTTGCGGCCGTGAGCGCGGCGCGGCGCAGTGTTTGAAGATATTTACTAGGTGAACAAACTTTAAGGAGATACTATTTTTCAGGACGGGGGGTGAAACGACGCGTCACTGGAACATAATTATTCATAGTAAAAAAGAAAATAAAATACAGCAAAAATGGCATATTCCTGAGAACTGAAATTACATGAGCAGTGCGTCGCGCGCCGTCAACTTTCACTTAACTCTCCTCTCGCAGCATCATTGCCAAACCTTTTGAAAAACTCATAACTCATCTGGTTTAAATATGTACTATGACCATCTTTTCCTACCTCTCCGGCCGGCTCCACGACGATACATGGTGTTCAGTTGAATCTTTGTGGACACTTTGGGAGTGTCCCGAAATTTTGTCCGAATTAATGTCGGCTTGAGTAAAACAAAATGGGTTCAGCTGACTGTTCCCTAACGTAACGTGGCTCATATGAAAAAAAATTCTCAGAAAATCCCACATAAACATTTTCAAAATTCTTTAAAGCTGACAAATTCTTGTAAAGTATCATTCCTTCTGCTCACATACCCATCCACAAGCGTGTCGGTAAGTTATTTTCATATTTTTGTGCACAAAAGCGTTCTTTTTGCACGTCAGAAAAAAATCGGAAAATCAGGTGAAAATAAAATTTCATCAGAACTTATAAGGGCCAACAGCAACACAGAATGGTGAATTGTGAATCACAATACCAAGAGTTTGATGGAGTTTTACTGATTGTGAAATTTGGGGTAAAAATGTTGCTCCGGTAAGAGACGAGAGGCAAAAAATGAAAGTGCATCACGCTAGAGTACATTGCTACACACACCCCTTTTGCACGTGTCCGTGCAGCCTGGAATTGTTCCAGTATAGTAGTGGCCGGAGCCAATAAACGATCTTTGGCCCCGTGCTGCAGTCCAAAACAAGGTCAGGCTAGGCTGAATGGTCTGTTCATAGACCTGGAGGAGAAAAAGTCAATCATATGGTCTGTTGACCGCTGGTTTCAACATGGGTGCAGACCTTGAGCCACGGACGTATATAAAAAACCTGGACTTGCAACGCCTTTGTATGAAAAAGAAGCCAACCAGCGGCCATTTTACCGAGCCGAATACATAAGCGTGGGCGGTTCCCTTCCATTGACGCCAGGAAGAACAACGGTGGGCATTGCCGGAAAAGCTTTGTATTCGGCTCGGAAAAATGGCTGCGGGTTGATTCAATGACTCTATAAGCTGATTAAGGGCATTGCGAGTCCAGATTTTATTATACACGTCCGTGCCTTGAGCTAGTTCGAGCACACCACCAAAGATCTACCTGGCGACGATCTTTTTTTGGGATTAGACCCTGATTCTATGATGGAACGCCAAAGAGGCCAAATTTGGAGGCAACACATCGATCGTTCCCCTACATCGATCGATCGTTCTTCTACATCGATTGATCGTTCCCTACATCGATCGATCTCTTTTGATCGATGAAAAAAGATCGATGAAGAAAGAGCGATGAAGAAAGAGCGATGAAGCTACATCGATGCCAACGTTACGTAACCTCTTCCAGCACCAATAACACGTGTTCCCTTTAACCATAGCCCACCAGCACACAAGGCCGCCCGTGTTCAGTACCCGTAAGTCTGGTCCCGAGCCAATTGAGTTGTCAGATGGGTGTTAATATCTAGTTTCCTTGTCATGAAACCACAAAGAATATTTTCTATTTTCCCCTGGATGGGATGCCAGTTCATTATGGGTCGCTCCCTAGCCACTGTGGGCACCTATTCTTACTCCTAATGACTCAAGTTTTATTTTCCACACTAATAGTATTCCGGCGGAACTATTCTGTCAGAATGCTGCTCAAAAGTCAACCCCCGTGAAGCTCAGTGCCAAAGGAAAGAAACTATAATTATAGAGTTTTTAGGAATCCCAAATACCTAAATATCATACATGCATAGTGAAATTTGTTAAACAAATAATGGAAACTGGTGTATTAAGTTTGATAATATTATTGTACAGAGTCTACATTATACCAATATGTAGGGAAAAAAAGAAGCATATGCTTCTGGCTTTCCCTATTTACACGAACAATGGTTCAGACTGGACAAGAAACATAAGACAGGAGACATGAGACATGAACACAGTATACACTGGCAGGATAGACAACAGTTAAAGACAGATGTGTTAGATCTTGAGACCAGACCTTTAAAGAATGGAAGTAGATTGGCATGATTAAATGATCTGAGTTTCATTATTCAAACTAATAAGGTAGGTTTGGAAATAATAAGTGTTAAATCTGCTTCGGTAACAGGAGCGAAAAATAAAGAATGTGCACATCTTTCACCAAGGAAGTGTTCAAATGAACTGCTTGATTGAGGAAGTTCACTTGCTATTTTCTTGCCAATGTTAATGAAATAATCATTGAAAGCGTTAGCGATATCAATGTAAGAATCAATTTTAGTATCATTTTGCGTGTAACAGGACGAATTTTGTTTAACGTTCGTTTCACCGAGCAACGAATTAATAAGCTCCCATGCATGTACCTTTAACATTATGTCTGCCTTTATTAAATTGTTCACCGAAGTAATTTTCTTTGCCATTCTTACAATACCCCTTTAATTTGTTTTAAAACTTTATGTTGGCAGATTTATTATGAACTGTAGGATTCTGAAGATATTTTTATGCAGATTTTTTTCTCTGATTAAGTTATAGATTCCGTCCGTTATCCAATGTGGTTTTGACTTATTAATATGATTTGGAGCTCACACTGTGGAAAATTTTTGCCATACATAATTTAAAAAATTCTCACAGGCCTCATCGACATTATCTGGCGCAAGTTCATCTTAATCTTAGTTAATGCCTACAGAGTACCAAAGAAATGTTCACGTTTTTCTATTTTTTTTCATTTGTAATAATAACAGGTTACAAAACTTCTGAAGTTTCTTTGTATGTTCACTTTAATCCTTTTACTCACTCATCGGTCAAACGATGATGTCCAGAGATTGTATCGGCAGTTTGAGTCCAAATGCTACAAATTAATCTTTCGTTTTCTCTAAACATCCGGGCGATAGTCTTTTAGGATCAATGAGACTGCCGAGATTAAACGCTCTCTTTGTTTATGCTTAACAATATGCTTATTTTAGTTGTTATTTTCGACTTCATCGGTGTTAGCTTGGGGTCTCAGGGGATCAGGTAAATGAACATAGGAAAGGGTCGTATATTGAAACAAGTTGACAAATTAGATCAAGATATTTTGATTCAGAAGGGAACAGTGTGTTCATCAGTGTTATGGAAGTGCATAGCTAGATCAGTAGGTCAATGAGTGACAGAATAGTTCCACTGGTTCAGCCGGTTTCGCCAGGCTGTTATCAGTGTGGAAAATAAAATTCGTATCCACCTGGAGTAAATATGTTTGCCCACAGTGGCTAGGGAGCGACCCATAATGAACTGGGGAAAATAGAAAATATTCTCAGTGGTTTCATGACAAGGAAACTAGATATTAGCACCCATCTGACAACTCAATTGGCTCGGGACCAGACTTACGGGTACTGAACACGGGTGGCCTTGTGTGCTGGTGGGCTCCGGTTACAGGGAACACGTGTTATTGGTGCTGGAAGAGGTTACGTAACGTTGGCATCGATGTAGCTTCATCGCTCTTTCGTCATCGGTCTTTCTTCATCGCTCGTTTTCATCGCTCTTTCTTCATCGATCGAGCCTGAGTTCGATCGGTCGATGTAGGGAACGATCGATCGACGTAGAAGAACAATCGATCGATGCAGAAGAACGATCTATCGATTTAGGGGAACGATCGATCGATGTAGGGGAACGATCGATCGACGTTGAAGAACGATCGGTGTGTTGCCTCCAAGTTTTTGCCTCTTAGGCGTTCCATATGACGCAGCCTGTGTCTGAGAATTGAGGAATGTACGGATCCAGGTAGTCTAATCATGGTCTATAAAACTTAACAAATAGAGTAATTGGTAATCACGTTATGTCATTTTGTAATACTGCGACAATTTCCATCGATATCACATTTATTTACAGTCTTCTCCAAGTTTTGAGCGCGGTGTACCACGGAGAACGGAGGCACAAAACTTCCGAATTGAGCCTTACGGACCTTTCCCTTACGAATGCACCTATAAGTGGACCATTACGCTGAACGTTTAGGTTGGCCCTCATGTTTTCCGTCAAAATGAGTGTCATTTTTCAGGTGACAGAACAAGTTATTCACACAGTCGCGCACGCAGAATATTGAAGGTTTTTATATGCACGACACGTCAGAAGTCAAAACTGGTCACACCCAATGATTGGCTGAAAAGGCCGTGCTCGCCGGGCAGAAAATAATTTCGAAACCAACTTTATACTCGGCCAAATCCGCTGAGAACCTCTGCAGTAACGGGAATATGCATTCTGCATGCAGGTCATATCCAAACCACCCCCGGGGATGGTGGCTCCCCCCTCCCCGCCAACACAACTGAAACGGTTTGTATCATGGGCGGCTCTAAGGCTTTCAAAAACTTTGGTGAACAGGTTTAAGTCCAAACTAAAGTACACATACTACAGATGGCATGGCAACAGCTTCCCCGTATCAAAAGCCAAACCTGACAAAATGGATCCCCCTCAAAAAGATTAAACCAAACAAAGTAAAAGATGAAACCAACACAAACAAAGAAACTCTTTGGCTCTCCTTTTGATAATTTAAACCATAGAACATGCTTAAACCATCTTTGCATCTAGAATGTGTTTTATTCAATGTAACAGTGCCTTCTTCTTGGTTGCACTAACGCAAACCAGTTGACCTTTTATGTCAATAATATAAACCCTGTGGCAGAATAGGTTTGAAGAATAGAAAAAGTAATACATATTTAAAAACCGAAATTCAACACCCTTAAATATTGTAACAGGATACAGTACACGGACAAAGAATCCTGAAACCTGTTTTCCATATTGACGTAAGAAACGCAGAAAGCAACGCAATCAAGACTCGAACTGCAACGCAGACACACGGAAAAATGCCAAACGGAAGTATCGCCCCAGACGGATCGGCAAAGTTGCAACACTTCACACTACGGATACCTGAAATACAAAGACGATATCAGGGCAACGTAGGCAAGTACGCACAATATCAAACACCACTGTTTTTAACTGCACACAATGGAAACTATAGTGGTGGTCACATTTTTATCTGGCAAATGGCGATAATCGCAACTATCCCAAGTCTTACTATGTTGCAGTGATTTTAAGGACAGGGCAGCTACATGTATGCTATGGGATCCAAGCATGGTATGCATAAGCTTGTGCACAAATGGGACAAATTACCAAATTGAATGAAAAATTGGTTATTAACAACACACAAACCCAAGACAACCAGCAAGTCTATTTCTTAACGGTCAGACCTGTTGAGTAAACATGACTTCCTCACTGGAATGAGGCTAGGATTATATTTATAAAAAGAGATGAATTACTGATATCCACTTTAATTAATCATCGGATGATGATCTCATGGTTACCTTAGAAACATATAAAAAACATAGTTATATTATTTATCAGTTATTATTCACCTCTTTCTACACTTCAAAAGAAGCTACACGCTTACTTGTGGAAGGCATACCTGGCATACATAATGTAAAATCTCTTTCGATCTTAATGATCTTCTAAAGGTGATGACAAACTTTCAAATGCCAAATTTCACTTGTTCATTTGGCTGTTAATAAATATCTGACATTGTGAGGGCAAAAAAGACAATGAAGTAACATGTATGAACCAGACAACTAAAAACTAACCATAAATATTTTAGCACCATCTTTTAAAAGTTAACCAAGTGTGGTAACTTCAACGCATAAAGAATTACACACTGAAGCAGAGAGACTTCATTGTTTAATTCTCAGAACTGAAGAACGGTAAAAAATGGACGATTTTGATGTACTCGTAATTTATAAACAAGACTAAATAAATCTATAAAAGTAACATAGCAATATATATGTACCATTTTCTTTTAATAAGAAATACTTTTGGTAAATTTTTTGACTTGGAAGATGGAGAACAAAGTTTTGAAATGCGCAGTTTCTGTTACAGTACATGTAACTTACTTTCCACCACATAAAATGAATTTTCAGGTTTACGCCACTGAAAATGGGCAAATATCAATTGGTGGGGAATTTTTATTTAATATTTTGTGAATGCCATTTCTTTGCATCTAAGGTGAATGAAAGGAGGGCAAAATATTATTGTCTCATACTAAAACCTGAAAAAGGGAAAATAAGAACAAGAATTGTATTGACAAATCCAGTCACATTTCACTGAGCAATCCAGATAGCAGCCTTCAATGGTGGAAAACTGGAAAGCATGTGTTGGGTTTTGTACAGAGTGACTGTGGTTATCATGATGCTTGCAGCCATTGCCGGGGGCCGCTGTGAAAGACCAAAGATAGTGTTACTATGTAAGGACACCAGATTTGTCCATACAACGTGGCTGCTCTTGGTTTATGGCCCTTCTTAAATGTGTCACACTAATTAATTGTACTAATATATGTGGGACGTTGCCAATAGTCAGGAGCCATGACATAATGATATGCTGCTGAAGCAACAAGGTTTGGGGAATCACACAGTAGCTGCAAACTGTTCAGCACACAACCGTGCTTTTTGCATGTAAGTCAATGGAACTGTGGATTTAATCATGATAAGACGTTTGTCTGTGAAATACATTTTTATTTGGAGAAAAACATGTTCAGAACCCCCAAAAAAAGTAAATTAATAAATATGGCCCGGCATGGAAATCTGGCTTTGCAGCAAAGTAAACTCAAAATATAGTTTCACCTGATCTTAAATAGAACTCCTTCACCCACTATATCTTATATCATTATAAGAATTTCATGATGGATACGATCACCATACACTTACTGTGATTAGACTGATTTACGACTGAGTTGTGCTTTTTTGGTATCTGATACTGTACGACAGCTCTCCTTGTGAATGAAATATCTTACAACTAACTCTCATGTCTGGCTTGCTTTCTGCCATTTTTGGACTGCGTTCTTGCTGGAGCTGATTTATGGGCATGGAATACTTCATCACGAGGCGCTTCTGAGGAGGTTGATGAGTGACCATTTCGACGGTACCCATTCGCTGGCCCGTGATTGGCTGCCGCACAGGGAGGTGACTCCACTACAGCTGCCTCATTGGCCTGAGCCGGTTGGCGGCTTTTCTTCTTGGACTGAGGCCTCGGTGGAGGGCACCCCTTCTTTTTTGGAACTGCACCCTGGTTGTGATGTGGTCCATCATGGGAAAACTCTGAGGAGGAGATAGATGAGAGATCAGGGGTCCCACGTTGTGGAGCCACCTGAGTGGACGTTATGGATTGATGAGACCTTACCGAATGTCTAGCACTGCTTGAAGTAGAGTTATTGGACTTTGTGAAAGTCTGGCTGGAATTACAGCTGCTTTGATTGGATGGACCCAAGTACAACTTTGACGAATTCACTTCAGAACGGTTTGTCTGACTGGAGGAGGTAGAGTGGTATGGTTCTGATGAATCTCGCTGATTGGTTGAAGTGGAATACTTGGACTGCACTGCAGGCTTGCAATTGCTATGATTCCCTGCGGTAGAACGCCTGGACTTCTTACAGTTCCTGCAATTGGTGCCCAAAGATTTGCACAATCTCTGGGGCTGCTGATCGGCTACAGTGTGATTACACAAATCCACTGAATTGGCATCACTGGCTGGGACAGCATTCTTGGCAGATGCCAGTTGCTTGCCTGATGCCGGGCTCCTGCTGGAACAGTTCTCACCCTTGGTTGAATCTGATTCAAGGAAAACAAAAGCAGAAGAATCTCAAAATTAAGTACAGTGTACCACACGAAGGCAAGCAGATTGGTGCATGAACAGTGGTGGGTGTTTTTATACAAAAATGGCTTCACTTTGGCCGACACAACTGGGTGATAGTTTCCCATTATTTACTGTGTGTACAGGTAGACCGTTCTTAGTGTCTCTGTTGTCGATCTTACTCCCAACAATTTCGGCATGACATGGTGGTCCTTACCAGTAAATGCTTTCGTTTCCACTGATTGATTAAGCACTTTTATACATGTAAGCAGCATTAAGAATAGCAGTTATTCATCTTCCATGCCTGACCAATCAAAATGCCCCAACTCCACGGGGAAAAAACAATGATAGATTTTTTATTTAATTAAGTATTCTTAGTTCCCACCTTCCAAATTTGCTAAAAGTTTGCCAGTCAGCTTCAGTCTACCAATTTATGAGTTTTTTTTGTCTTCATCTCAGCATTTGTGAATTTCAAAACCTGACCTGGTGTCTGGTTCCAGCTATCCACAGCCAGCCAGTCCTGCTCAGGGAAGGCAAAGGGGTTGGTAGCCCCGACACCCTTGACCAGGGTGGTGGGGACGTGAGCCGGGGCTGGCTCCCTGAAGTAGCAGTCCGGCAGCTCGCTGTTAGAGAAGGTCTGGTAACCGTTGTCCTCGTCCGCTTTGTCCCACTCTCCTTCGCTGCTGTCTCCTGACGGGAGGTTTAGAAGTCCCTTCAGAACTTGCAAGGAAAACAACACAGAGCCACAGAGATAACTGAATTACTTCTTAGCTACTCCTTTGTCTCTTTGGTAAAATAATTTGAAACCATCTTGAGCAGAGACATTTTACATTCAACTGCAACCAAAGATGTCTCTCATTTATTATCAACATGCAGATCCTAGGGCTGTGATCAACTAGAATACCACTGATGGTTTGCTAACCCTAGCGCTCAGTGGAATAGTATCTGGGGAAGGGCACAACATGGGGTACTTACACCCCTTACTTCCCATGAGGGGAGCGGACAGCATGGGGTACTTACACCCTATACTTCCCTATGGGGGGGGGCTGCATCGGGTACTTACACCCCATACTTCCCCATAAGGGGAGGGGGCGGCATGGGGTACTTACACCCTATACTTCCCTATGGGGGGGGGGCTGCATCGGGTACTTACAGCCCATACTTCCCCATAAGGGGAAGGGCAGCATGGGGTATTACACCCCATACTTCCCTATGGGGGGGGGCTGCATCGGGTACTTACACCCTATACTTCCCCATGACGGGAGGGCTGCATCGGGTACTTACAGCCCATACTTCCCCATAAGGGGAAGGGCAGCATGGGGTATTACACCCCAGTGCGCTGTAACAAGTGCCATTTTCTCCCCATGAGCGCCCTTTTAAACCCCCCCCAGGCTCGTTTTTACCTACTAAGTGCCCCTTTTCACGAGCGAACACTTTATAAAGTGTCACTGTACAAAGTGCCCAGTGACAGAGTCTGGGTGACCGGTCATAACACCCTGCCTACCTCTGATCAAGGATGCTGAGTGCCCTCTCTCACATATATATATCCCAATCCAAATGATCCTGCCATGCCACTGCTGCTTCTTGGGATTTCAGCTTCCAGTAACTAATCAGAAAATTGTTCCTTGCTTAAATGTATTTATACAGCTTGTACTTGCGTGGGGGAGAACTTTCCAATAAAGACTGGCAAAGTATTGATATGAACTACTGAGCTCTGACTGATCCTCACCAACCAGGGACATTAGCTTTGTCAATGTCTGTGGGTTCCTCACCATTTTCGTCGCGGTAGTTGTCATTCTCGTCCCTTGGGGCAAGGTCTAGCATCGCATTCCACGTTTCAGGCGGACCGATCCGCAGCAGGTTGTCAGGCACCTGCCAAGTGTTGTCGCACAGGTCGCTCAGCTTGAAGAAGATGGGCGGGAGAACGTTGGCGACGCGCAGTATGAAATGGCGTCCTCTAGGGTCTGTGAGGTGATAGTACTTGACATACTGCATGTTGGACTTTATGCGTACCTTGTACTGCGAGTAAGAAACAAGTATACAGATTTTAAAAAATGGAAACCTTTTAATTTCAACCATCATGGTCAGCAGACCAACTTGTCGAGAAACTCACCTCAATTCAGAGTTTCGTTTCTCATCAAATTAGGTGGTGGCCGACACCATACAAAATATGAAAAAAACGCATCAAATATAATATCACAGGGCGAAATTGATTGACTGCAATACAAATCAACATTGGCATCATCAAACAAGGAAAGAATGGAGCAGGATTGAACCTCAGTCCCTTCCAACATGTTACAGGTACTCCACTGAGCTCTTTGGTCTTATGTTGGTGGGCCCCACTGTATTTATGTCTTTTGCTCATTGAATTGCCAAGACTGCCTTGAGGGGTCAGATGGATGTGCATCAGTGTGGCGTTCCAGAAGGCTCAGGTTCAAGTCCCACTTGAGTCAATTTCTCTGCTAAACCTTGTACCAATTACAACACCACCTAAGCCCAGTAATCGGTGATGGTTCACTTGTAAAGCCACACCTTTTGATTGATCTTCAATTTTGAGGCCTGTGGTACTGATAACGTTGCTAATGTGATCACCTGGGATATGAACCTTTGTAACATGTTAAAACTTAACAGTCCTCAATCCTCCCATTTCAATATGATTGTACATACCCCCTAGAGGTTAGGGACAATCAGTGGGTTTATGATTTTCAGCTAGTGTCCCTCTAACAGTGAGTGACACTGACTGATCGACCTTGACACTGCTGACAAAGGCTGATTTATGCCAAGCCAATCTACAGGTTATCGGGAAGGGAGCCCATCACTTTCTGGCTGGTGACCTGTTTCCACTATGCAGCAAATGTTGTTTCTGTACTTAGCATACATTTCATGCTGA